TGGGGGAATTTGCAACCACCAATTCAACCCTACAGAAAGTATTGCAGGATATTCTAAAAAAAGAAAAATACAAAGAACCCAGAAATAGTGGCGGGGAGGCCACAACGAATGGAGCAGAGAACAAAATGAAGAAGACAAACTGACAGCTACTGACAGAATAAGAGCTCAACAGAAATGAGGCAGAGAAGATTGGATGATAGGAACAGCTATTTTGGAGAAAATGACATCTTAATAGGTAATACTGATTTAGTATCATCTTGTTTTGAAGTCTCATCTAGCTTTTGTCCTTCTGTCTCCAATGGTCTAAATAGGTTGTATCTTATTGGATTTTATTATGTATGATAGTATAAGCAAAAACCTTTTAAAGACAAGGAGATTATACAGAAACCATTGTTCATTTTCTGTTAGTCGATTCTAAATACTCTGTAATGCTGTCATTCTCTTAAATGGTTTTACATTGTTTTGATATACTTAATGCTACAGTATACGAAGTTGTACTCAAGGATTTCAAGGAAAGAGACAATATGGTAACTACTTTTAGGTCAGGATTATCTGGTGGTGAAACACTATTCTGCTTAAATGATTATGTTTTGATCTGTGCTGCTTCGTTGTTATGCCCTCTTTTATCTCAATCTCCACTCCATTATTTACTTTTTTATTTTTATCCTTTTAAAGGAAAAAAAATAGCAGGATATATTATAGTAACCCACTTTGACTTTCCATTACCTCGATTTAAAGCCCTGTATTACTCTCACCATCTGGTTTTTAACTGAGGTTCCCCTATTCTGTTTTGCTGGATAGTATCAGGTTCGAGGCATCAGCTGTGAAGATAATGAGATTCATTATAACGCCCATTCTCGTTGACTTTTATCTACTTTTGAAGACCTACAATGTCTCCAATGTTTTGGTTTTGTCGGTTTTATTCTTTACTGTTTTGTTCAATTGTATTATAACTAACGATATAGGCAATTCTATTAGAGACAGCGGGAGGCATTATGGTAACCATTGTTGATCACCCTGTATTATGTTTTTACATTATCTATTATGTCCACCCTTTTGACTTGACCGATTCTGTTCTGTTATGTTATATTTGGTTTTACTCTCTTCCAAAAAAGTAATAAGAACCGTGGGAGCAATGAAACCCAAAATGTGTAATAGTCATTGTACCAAAGAGAGGAAAAGAAAGTGCTCTAAACTATATAACTGCATGTATATTTAAGTGTATAAGATAGAAAATGATATCACAGAGTTTTATTGGATCATTGAACAGAACTGTTTGCAGTATCATTGATGGAATGTCCACTTTACAAGCTTTAATTTTGTGACTTGAACAATTATTTCTAAGATGACAATATGTAATCCATTAACTAGTGATTTCCTACTGTTCATTTTTTTCTGTAAATCTGTATAACTTGTACCCTTTCTCTGCTTTTTTTTCTTTTCTCCTTAAATAAAATTTAAAAAAATAGATCTATTCAACAAAAAAACCAACAGTGAAATATCAGAACCAAACTACTGAACAAATGGACTTAGTAGACATCTATAGAGTGTTCCAGCCCACAGTATCAGAATACACATTGTTTTCAGCTATACATGGGACATGTATAGCTCCAAAACAGATGATAGACTAGCTCACAGAACACGCTTAAAGTAAATGGAAAGAAACTGAAATTATCCTATGCATATTATCAGATTATAGTGCAACGAAATTGGAAATAGATGGCACAAGAAGCCAGAAGAACTTTATAAATGCATGGAAATTAAACAGCACCCTCCTAAAAAACTAATGGGTCACAGATGAAATTAAAGAAGAAATTAGACAATTTTTACAGTTGAATAACAACAATATGACATACTGGAACTTATAGGATACAATGAAAGCAATCTTAAAAGGAAAATTTATAGCAGTAAATACACATATCAAGAAAACAAGAAGCACATATAAACAACTTAACAATGATTCTCAAACTTCTAGAAAAAGAAGAGCAGGCTAAGCCAAGAGCTCATACAAGGGAGGAAATTATATCAACCCTAGCAAAAAGTAAAGCATTGGAAACTATAAATAAGTAAATAAATAAATAAAAGAATCAATGAATCAAAAAGGTGTTTCTTTGAAAGATTAAATAAAGTTGATAAACCCTTAGCCAACCTTATTAAAAAAAAGACTCAAATACACACAATTAGGAATGAAAAGGATGAAATCATAACAGAGCCTGCAAAAATTCAGATCATCTATGTCTACTTTGAAAACTTGTATTCTAGTAAGATGGAAAATACAGAAGAATAAGATTGAAGATATAATTAAAAACCCCCCAACAAAGAGAAGCCCAGGCTCTAACAGATTCACTGCTAAATTCTGTAAGAAATTTAGAGACAAACTAACACCACTACTCAAACTCTTTAATGAAATTGAAAGGGAAGTAATATTCCCAAATTCATTCCTGGAAGTAAGCATTACTCTGATACCAAACCGAGAAGGATCCAACTAAAAAAGACAATTACAGGCCAATTTTCCTAATGAATAGAGAAGCAAAAATTCTCAATAAGATACTAGCAAACAGAATGTATCAAGAAGATCATACATACTTCCAAACCCATTATACAGATTTAATGCAATTCTGATCAAAATTCCAACAGTGTATCAAACAGAATTATAGAAAACAATCCTAAAAATTCATTTGGAACCAGAAGAGACCTAGAACACCAAAGGCAATTCTGAGCAACAAACAAAGGTACAGCAGGTGCCTTTACAATCATAGACTTGAACTTATATCGCAAAGCTACTGTGATAAAATCAGCATGGTACTTGCAAAAAAACAAACAAAAAAACAAAAACAAAAAACCAGGTACAAGGAACAACAGAACAGATTAAAAGATGCAGAAACAATTCTAGTCACTTTATTTTTGACAAAGGTGCCAAACACATTCACTGGGAGAAAGCCTCTTTAAAAAATGGTGCTGGCAAAACTGGCTCTACACATGCTTAAGATTAAAACTGGACCTATATCTTTCATCATGCACTAAGCTAAAATCAGAATGGATCAAAAATCTTAATATTAAAACAGAAACATTAAATCTCCTGAAAGATACAGTAGGTAAAACTCTTGAAGACATAAGTGTAGGCAAAGATTTTATTAACAAAACTCTGACTGCACAGGAACTATCACAAAGAATCAACAACTGGGATCTCACCCTATTGAAAAGCTTTTGCAGAGCAAGAGAAACCAGCAATAGGGTGAAAAGACAACACAAAACGTGGGAGAAAATGTTTGCTAGCTGTTCCTCAGACAAAGGACTAACTCTAACTTAAAAGCATCAGTCCTCCCAGATTTAAAGACCCAATCCAAAAATGAGCATCTGAGATGAATACACACTTCTCAGATTTAGAAATACAAACTGCAAATAACTATGTGAAAAAATGTTCAACATCACTGGTCACTGGAAAGATATAAATTAAAACAACACTCAGATTCCACCTCACCCAGAAACAATGGTTAGTATCAAGAAATCAACCAATGGGCTGGGGATTTAGTTCAGCAGCATAAGCGCCTGCCTTGCAAGCACACGGTCGAATTCGATCCCCGGTACTGATAAAAAAAAAAAGAAAGAAATCAACCAATAATAAATGCCGGAGAGGCTGTGGAGAAAAAGGAACTCTTCTCCACTGTTGGTGGGAGTGCAGACTGGTGCAACTACTACAGATATCAATGTGGAGATTCCTCAAAAAAACTAGGACTAGAGGTCCCATTTGACCCAGCTATACCTTCTGGGTATCTTCACAAAAGAATTCAAAGTATCATGCCACAACAATATATGTACACCCATGTTATTGGCAGCACAAGTTTTAATAGCCAAATCTTAGAAATAGCCCAAATGCCCATCAGCTGATGAATGGATTAAGAAGAGGTGTTTTTTTTAATATAATGGAGCACTACTCTGCCATAAAGAAGCTTGAGATATCTCTAGGTAAATGAATCCACCTTGAGGCTATACTCTTCAGTGAAATAAATTGGACACCTATGAGTAAATACCACATTATTTCTTTGGCATGACACAGCAAAAGCATAAATGAGGATCAAAATATATATTAGCTGTTGTGAAATAGGAAGAAAATATGCAAATGGAGAGGGGAACAAGGTAGGTGGAAGCAAGAAAGGAAAGGAGAGAAAAATAAAATTTTAAAAAAAAGGAGAAAAGGAAAAAATGGAAACAAAGCTTTCTTTAAATTTCGAAGGATGGGAAGGGAGGGTAGGGGAATGGGGAAAAAAAAGAATCCAATTATATCATGTATAAATCCTCTGTGATGAATGTGATCATCATATGTATCTAAAACATACTAATAAAATCGGATTGAAGCAAAAAATTGTATTTTGAAATATGGTTTTGCTAAGTTGCCCAGACTGGGCTTGAACTTGCCATCCTTCTGCCTCAGCTCCTGAAGCACTGCGATTACAGTGTACAGCACAACTTCTGGCTGAAAAAGTCATTATTTGTTTTTTTGGTACCGAGGATTGAACTCACAACCCGAGCTGGCCAGGCAGGCATTTATACTTCTGAGCTAAATCCCCGGCCCAAAATGTCACTATTAACAGTAAAGCAGATCCTCAGGTTCATAAGCGTGATGATTGCGTGCTCATGCTCCATGCATGACATGTATCTCCTTTGAACCTTGTTACGACCTCGGCACATTATCCATCTGCCGAGAAAAAGAAATGGGGAAAAAAAAAAAAGGAAAAAAAAGCCTACACTGTAGCGGCTCTCAGTTCCGCATGCGGCCTACCTGGAAATCCTGTCTCTGGTTTTTGCAAAACACCCCATTTCTTTCCACTCCCTTCCTCCCCAGAGCACCATGGGAGACAAATGGCACGGGTGCTACCCAGAGACACAGGGAGCCTGCCCAGCACAGGAAGGCACAGGACATAGCAAAACCTGTGAGCAGCCAGAGGAGGACAGGCACCAGCCTGAAGCCAGGTCCACTGCACAGCGGGGCAGGCACTTACCCAGGGATACCAGGAGCCCGCAGTTCTCCAGCATCACCTCCTGATACAAGGTCCTCTGACCTGGGTCCAGCTGCCCCCACTCCTCTTGGGTGAAGGTCACGGTCACATCCTCAAACGTCACAGGTACCTGGAGGTCAAGCAAAGCTGTTAGCATTGCCTCAGCTACTGGACAGGCTGTTACATGGGGTTGGGCGGAAAAAGTACAGAGAGAACACAGCCCCACTGACACCACACATGTCGAGGGCCACGCTGTGTGCTGCGCTCAGGGTGGAGACTGCCTAAAGAAGGACAATGCTGGGCTGTGAGATGTGCACCGGGAGGGCTGTGGGGCCCCAGAACCCCTGAGGAGACAACAGCAGCAGCGTCCACGTCTCCCCATTCCAGCTAGGTACCCTTTCTTTACTGAGCACTTCCAATTCTTGAAAGTGACTAAAGGGGGCCCAGGATTTAGCTCAGCGGGTGTCAGCAATTGCCTTGTATGCTTGAGGTCGTGAGCTCTCCCCCGGGCGATACCCTTTGCCCAGGCCATTCTTTTATCCTCTCTCCATCATCACCATCACGGACAGGCAAGTGGCTTGGGCTGAAGGCGCTTCCCTTCCCCATCCACCTGGAGTCACCCAGCTCACTGTGACAGGCACGGTCTGAACGGGATCACCCTGGCACCCCAACTCCACAGTGAGCCTGACGGTAAAAGTGGTGCAGCAGCATTTTCACTTTGCTCCAAGTCCATTTCAGTCACCCTGAATGGACAGCACAGAGCCTTCATCACCGAGGACACAGGGGATAGGGGGGCGGGACAGGACCGCGGTCCTCTTCCCTGGAATCTCCCCAGGGAAAGCCCGCGAAAGACCGCCACGATTTTCCTGGCTGGGTCATGGTCTCCCGGCCTGAGTTCAGGACTCCCCAAGTCCGAGGATACCAGCGGTCGAGACGCCCCGCGCTGGAGCGACCCTGGGAGGTTGGGACCCCCGCGTCCCGCTGCTCCCGGCCGTACAGTAGCAGGCTGGAACTCCCGCCTACTCACCAGCGCGCGGCCGGGCAGCGCGGCCGCTGCCATCCCGTGCGCCACCCTCGGGCTCCTCGCGTGTCCTCCTCCGGCCGCCGTCCCGAGCGAAAGTGGCACACCGGTCCGGCCGGCGCGGGGCTGAGCGCGGCGAGGAGACGCCACAGGGGAACTCGTGTCTTAGAGAGGAACCTTAGCAGGCACCAAGGTGGGCGGGGCTGCCCAGCTCCTTCCCCGCCCGATACGCGCCAAGACGCCCAGGAAGGGTCACTGCCACGAAGTTCCGTCACTCAACCGCCCAGGATTGAACAGGGGAGGCAAATGTCGTCAGCAGCCAATAGCCAGGAAGTCCCGCCCCCGACACCGCCTGGCATGAGATCCAGGGCCATCATTGGTCCAAAGGTCACGGGCACGTGAGGCGGGGCCTTCTGGGTATTGTAGTTTTCCGTCCTGCCGAAAGAGGGGAGGCGCGCCACGCCCCCAAGGTGCCCTCCGTGTGCTAGGCTGCTGGTGACCCCACAGCTGCCGCGGCCTTGCTCCGGTAGGAGTAACCTGGGAACGGGGACAGCGAGGACCAGCGGTGAGAGCGGACAGTCCTCTGACGGGAAAGTCAAGGCTCCTACAAAGGTGGCACTGCCCCTCGGCGGATGCGGCCGCTCATCCCCGCCGGATCGTGCTCCTGGATTCTCTCAGGGCGGACCACGCGGGAGGAGCCCGATTCCGGGCGGCGCGCGCTGTCATCCTGGTGCCCGGAGGCCGCAGGCGATCATCGCAAGTTCAAGCCCAGCAGGGCAACTTAGCATCACACACACACACACACACACACACACACACACACACACACACACACGGTAATCAAGGCCTCGAGCGCCCCCATCTTATTGGCCGCCGGAACCCAACGCCTCTGCACCTAGTATTTGGTGCCCAGCACCGGAATTGTGGGTTAGCTTCTACCTGCGCGCAGCCTGGAGTCCAGGCGGCTGTTGGGGGCGGGGAGGGGGAGGGCGGGACGCGGCCGGGCATGAGCGTGGCCTGTTCCGGCGAAGCTAACCGTCGGGACGCCCGTGATGCAGGAGCGCGCAAAGCGGTTCTGACCGGAAAGCGCTGTGATGGCACGAGTTTCCGTAGGTTCTGGGCAGCAATGCCCTGAGAGCCCAGGAGGCCGGCGGGGACCTCGCGCTTCGCCCTCCCTTCGACGCGCACCCCTAGAAAGGTGCAGCCTTGCACCTTTGCTCAGGACCCGACCCACTCTTCGTTCAGGACGGAACCTGGAAGAGCCCACGGCACGCGGGTCGCCCACAGAGCCCGCACCAGGCAGAGTAACGAGCCAAGGGGCCGGTCACCCCCGGCATCCTGACCCCCGGGGACCCGCGTCCACCCGGGGGCCTAGGATAGAGCCTTGCTCCCGCTTTTATGCGGTTTCTATCCTACAGGGCAACTTCTCCCTGGCAGCCAGCACAGAGCAAAGCTACAGAAGCAAAGACAGAGATTAGCGGGAAATGAGAAGTGATCAAGGCCACAGGGCCTTGACACCCGCCTTTCCACATCAGCCGGCCCAGCTGAGTTCACCCGCCGTAGGAATATGGGGCCATCAGAGCCAGGATCTCTTCTGGGACCACAGCTGCTAGGGACTTACCAAAGTGGCTCAGCTGTAGTCACCCCCTAGCCATCCTGCTTCACCCCTGGAGTGGCCTCCTCTCCGTTTCTGTAGAAATGGCTCACTGAACCAAGGAACCAAGGTCCTTCTTGTCTCAAACGAAAAATTGGGCAAGGCAAACCAAAAAGGGTGCCAAATGTTTATTTCAAAGGTGAGGGGTGAAGGGATAAGGGTAGCACAAAAGAGAGGGCAAAAGCAAAAATCAAAGTGTACCCCGCACCCAAGAGATGTAGAGTGGGCTTCCAAGAGGACCCCCAAAGCAAGCTGTGGGGCACCTGGTCACCTTGCCATCCATGTTTTCTGGGAGCTGGAGAGGTTCTCCATGTGGGGTCCTGAGAGCCATAGGGCATCGCCCTGGGACCCTGAAACAGATGGGTCCTGTCTACTTCTCTGGCCGCCTTTGGCTTGCCCTACCTCCTCCAGCACTTTGGCTCTCTGGGTCTCCTTTCCAGGAAGTGCCAGGCACCAGAAGGGGAGGGTTCATTCATGGCCAAAGCAGGAGGCTGGCTGCAGGGTTACAGCTGGAAGATAGGGATACTGAGGGGGAGTGACAGGGAGACCTCCTCCTGAGTAGCTGGAGCTTCCCAGAAGTCATCACCCTCACTTCCCTCCTTTCATGGCCTGGAAGGTGGCAGAGGAGAGAGGCTGGGCAGGTCAAGGCTGAGTTCCCAGTAAACCATTTCTCAGATCTTAGACGTGTCTAAGATCTGACCCACGGCTTAAGATAGCAAAGCTGGGACACAAGATGAAGACAGAGAGGCTCCTCCCTTCTGTTCTCATCCTGGTCACCCTGAGGTGTCTGCTAAAATCACTGACTCTTTACGTGGGCCCACAGAGGGTCACAGAGATGAGCTCCCTGGTCTCAGGAAGTCTTGGTTGACAAACCACAGGGCCAAATTCCATTATTCACCAAAACGAGACATGAATAATATAAATAGGGGAGAACACCTAGTAGGTGTATTTCTGTTAATTTGTGTAACAGGCAAGGTCCATGAATTGTAGTAGTCAGGAAATATATAGCAGGAGGTTAAAGATGTGTCCTTGTGATTCCTGCCTCCTGTCATTCTTCTCACCTGTTTGTCCCTGCCCCTCAACTTCACATGCAGCATTACATAGAAATTCTAAAGGTTTTCTAGTGCTGTCTGGTGAATATTTATTAAAACCCACTGCAGCCCAGTGTGGCAGTGCACACCTGTGATCCCAGCATTCTGGAGGCTGAGGCAGGCAGACTGACAGTCTGAACCCACCCTGGGCAACTTAGAGAGACCCATCTCAAAATAAAATCAGAAAAAGGACTGGAAATGTAGCTCAGTGTGACTTCAGTCCCTGAGTTTGATCCACAGGACAGAACAAATAGATAATAGCAAAATTCCCTGTGCACCTTGGGGTGGAGGTGTAGCTCAGTGGTGGGACATCGGCCTATGGGGTGCATGAGGGGCTGGGTTCAGTTCCCAGTACCGGGGCAGGAAGGAGGAGCTGAACACAAAGCAGTGTGAAGCAGGTGATCCAAGAGATAAATCCCTGCCATAGAAACAAGCCAGGAACCAAACAGATTGCCCATTTATAAATCCACTCACTATAGTCAGCTGGCTTTTTTCCTTTTTATTTTAAGGGGAATGAAACCCTACTGAGCAAAACAGAGTAAAGCCAATCAAAACAAAGCAGTGAAAGTGGAACAGAACTTCAAAACAGGACAACAGGAAATCAACACTGGCTACCATAATACATCTTTCAGTCCTCACAATAGTTGTCTATACCATCACACACAGCAAAATCAAACAAAGCAAAACAGAATAAAACCAATCAAAAGAGAACATTGAATAAAACAAAACAATAGATCAGAACAAAACAGTGAGGATAATACTGGACTTCAAAAATGAGACAGAAGGAAATCCTGTTTGTTATGTTGCATACTGTCATCTTCCTAGGAGATGCTCACACTACCAGCCTTAGGCCTGCAAAGTCAGCCAAAGAATACAAACATTTAGTTGTTTTTGTATCTTTATTGCTACCAATTCAGCCTGTCCACCCAACCAGCTGGTTGCCTGGGGATGGAGGGTCTTGATTCTCAGCCTGTGTACCCCTCAGCCCCAGGGAAAGGCAATCTGGCTTCTCTCTTCCTGGGCCCCGCCTGGTTTGCCTGGCCAAAGGAAGATCAAGCTAGCTTCCTGTGTGCTCCCCAGAGACCCAGCATGTCCTCTGCTGAATCACAGGAACATCGGACTGGTTGATTTTTGACAAAGGGAGCAAGAACAAGAAGTAAGGCTGGAGCTGGGCGTGGTGGCTCACGCCTGTAATTCCAACACTCCGGAGGCTGAGGTGGGAGGATCCTTACGAGTTCGAGTTCGAGACCAGCCTGGGCTACAAAGTGAGCTCAAGGCCAGCCTGAACTGCATAGCGAGACCCCATCTCAAAAAAGACAAAAAAAAAAAAAAAAAAAAAAAAAAAAGTAAGGCTGGTCTCCTTACTGTGTTTGTGGTGTTAGAAATACCCACAGGAGTACACATTTCAAACTTTATCTCAGCCTAAAGCAAAGACAACTTCAAAATGAATTAAATACATGAGCATGAGACTTGAAGCTGACTGGGGGTGGTGGTACATGCCTGTAATCCCAGCATGTGGGAGGCTGAGGCAGGAGGATTGTCATGAGTTGGAGGCCAGCCTGGGCTACATAGTGAGAGCCTATTTCAAAAAAAAAAAAAAAAAAAAAGACTCAAAGTTGTAAAACAACTAGAAGAAAATGGGGGAAAGGTTCTTTCTCTTTTTTCAGTATTGGACCTTCGGATAGAACCACATCCATGGCTCTTCTTATTTCTTGCTGAGCTTGGCTTGAACTTGCAATCCTCCTGTCTCAGCCTTGGGAAGAACTGCTTTTATATTTTTCAAATTAAGTTTATCAGTACAGTTTAGATACACACAATGATCATACTCAACATGGAGACTCTGTACCTGTATATAATATATTTTCATTTCTCTTTTTTTCCAGGCCCCTCCAGGTACAAGATTCTGGGCACTGGTCTGTGAAATAAGCATTTTAGATGTAACACCAAAAGCTCTGGCTACAGGAGTGGAAACAGTGGTGCTTCGTGAGACCAGTAAGCGTCTGTCCCACAGAGGAGGGAACTGGAGGACAGAGCAACCTGCAGAATTAGGAAACAGGTTTGGAATTTATAGACTGTGTATAAGGTGAATGATAGGTCTTGCCAGCCTGGGACTCAGCTGTCTGTAACATGACATCTGCCCAGTTTGGTACCTGACCCAGAGAAACAACTGATCCCTCCAAGGGATAATAAACCTCTTGCTTCCTTTCTGCACTGAGTCCTCTCCAATCCCACACCTCCACAACCCCCCAAAGCCTTCTTTCTGTCTCTTGTCTTACACAAGTTAATATGTCATCTTGCCCACCTCTCAAACTCCTCCTCCAGCCAGACCTGTAAAAGTAGCCCCACTTGTTTGTTCTCCTTTGAGAGCTTCTGTCCTCCCTGCCCTGTGAAGCATTACAGGCCTCCTCCTTTGTCTCCTTCTTATCTCTCATTTTTCTCTGTGCTGTTTTGATTCAGATTGAGTGCCAGAAATATTCAATCAGTTGATATCTAAAAGATACAAGGGGCTCCTATAAATCAACAGCAACAAAACAAAGCACGCATAGGAAATGTGTGTTTTTTACAGGCTGTCAAAATGGCTCCTTCCTCTAACCTATTGGCACATTTTAGATAAGCATAATGATAACATTCTGCATGGGGAACTTGTACCTGTATATAACATATCTTGCTTCTATTTTTTTTCTCATTTCCCTCCCTTTAGCCTCCTTCTAGTCCTTATTCAAAAAAACTTTGTGTTTTTTTTCCCTTTCCCCTTCTTTTCTTTCCCTCTTCCCCTCACTGTTCCCCTTCTCATTTGAACATTTTCTTCCCCTTTCCCATTATCTATTATACAGTTAACACTCCTTTGGTTTTATTTGTTTGTTTGGAGACAACAAGGTCTTTTTGTGTAGGCCAGGGTGGCCTTGAACTCACTACTTAATCTGGGCTGGCCTCCAATTTGTGGTGATTCTCCTGCTTCAGCCTCCTGAGTACTAGGATTACTGGAGTGTACTACTGTGCTTGGCTATTTTTAATGCTCTTAATCACCAGGAAGATGCAAATCAAAGTCAGTTCTGGAGATGTAACTGAAAGTAATGTGATCACAGCTAACGCTGCTTTGATGACATAACTTCAATTTTCTAATTCAGAAGTCTCGTCGCAGCTCCTACCAGGAGTCCCAGCTACTTGGGAGACTGAGGCAGAAGGACCACATATTCAGGCCACCCTGGACAACAGCGAGATCCTTTCTCAAAACAAAGATTAACGTGTCTGGGACGAAGTTCAGCAGTACAGAGTGTGTTTCTACCATGTGTGCCAAGGCGCTGGGTTCTACCCTGGGAGCTGCCGAAAACAATTAAGCCGAAGCTGTGTGTACTATTCTTTCTGGAGGAAGCCCGCTTTTTTTTTGGTCCTTTTTTTCTTTTTGAGACTGTCTCATTATGCAGGCTTTCAACTCACAGGGATCCTCCTGCCTCGGCCTCCTGAGTGCTGGGATTACAGGTGTGTGTCACCATGCCAAGTATGAAACCTTTTTAAAGAATTTGCACTTTGAAACAGGGTCTTGCTAAATTGCCCTGGCTGGGCTCAAATTTGTGATCTTCCTATCTTAACTCCCCAAAGTGCTGGGATTACAGGCAGGTGCCATAAACCCCAGCTAAAATTAGTGATTATTTTTAGGTAAGTGATTTTTAAAGTCAACTAAAAGGCAAGGAAGTTAAAGTAAATTAAACAGTTTAATAATTAAAGATTAAAATAAAATATAGACAGTAGAAAGCCAGGTGATAGATCTTTTGGAAAAAGAACAGAGATCAAGAGACAGAGGGAAGGGGAGAGAAAGGACAGGTCAAAAGAATCAGAATGTATGGTGTACAGGAATCAGCTTCTCGCGGTGAATCCGAAGTGCTATAGGTAGACACGCACCAGTGAAATAAAAATTTGGAAGGAAAAAATGGGTAAAACACCCAAACATGCAGGATGTCCTCAGTGTGATAGTTTAGGCGTAAGAGGTAGTATAAATTGGTGTAAATGATTCAATCTCTATAAGCCGAAGAAAAAGAATCCACCATAGTGTTTAGATTAAGAGGTCTCATGACAGCTGGGCGTGGAGGCACACACCTGTAATCTTCTCATTATGGGAGGCTGAAGCAGGAGGCTTTCAAGTTTGAGCCCAGCCTGGGCAGTTCAGGATTTAGCAGGACACAATGTGAAAAAAAAAAAAAAAAAAGTAGGGATCTGGGGCTGTGGCTCAGGCAGAAGCCGGGGTTTAATTCCTGGAATCACAGAGAGGGTGAGATTAACAAGGCAGAGCTCCCTCCCCCGCCACCCAGGGTGGGGCCTGGCCCAGAGGATAAAACGCTCCAAGGGTCACTCTGTCCACCGATGCTGCCCCACAGGACGCTCCAGACATGGCCCAGAGGGACCCCTCCAAGGGTAAGCTCACCTCCCGCCTGACAGGCTGCATTTGTTTCACACAAAATTGGGCTGATAATGCAGTGAGTCTGAGAAGTCAGTGCAGTTCTGTTTTTTAGTTTATTTACTGATTTTATGGCGCTGGAGATTGAACCCTAGGCTTTCCCACTGAGCTACATCCCCAGTCCTTTTCTCCTTTTGCATTTTGAGACAAGATCTTGCTAAGTCTGTGAGTTGCCCAGGCTGGGTTTGCATTTCAGATCCTTCTGCCTCAGCCTCTCAAGTTAAAATTCTGGGATTCTAGGAGTGGCCCACCGCACCCAGCTGAATTCTGTTTTTAAACTTCTAATGCCCACCTGAGAGTAAGGAAGAGAGTCTCTGGTGTGGTGTTAGGGAAATGTGCTGTTTTCTGTACACTGGAGCATGGAGGATTATAGGAAGGTGAAGTGTTCAGGAACTGAAAAAGACAAACCATGCACTGGGATTGCAGAGGAGAGGAAGTGATGGGTGGGGAAAAAAAAACACAGAGAGATGGGGTGGGGGACTCAGTGACAGGAGGCAGTGCCCAGTTTGGAGGTGAAAATGTCTCTTTTCATTTTGGTTTTTTGAGACTGAGTCTCATTGTGTAGGCAAGGCTGGCCTCAAACTCAATCCTCCTGCTTCAGCCTCCTGAGCACTGGATTGGACCTGGGTCTGGACTCTGGTTTCCCCCTTGTGCCGCGTGTCTGTCAGGCAGGAAATGCTGCAGGCTTTAACCTCCCACCCTGGCCACTTCTCTCCGGACCCCTCTGCTTCTGTCCTAGTCTGAGTTGGTCTCTGCACAATGCTGTCTTAGAATAATGGTGGATTTTGTCCCTAAACTGCTTGAAATCATGGCTTGGGCCTGGTGGGATGCTCATCTGTAATCCTTGCACTCTGGGAGGCTGAGGCAGGAAGACTGAAAGTTTGAGCCTAGCCTGAGCAATCTAGTGACTTACTTAGCTTCTGTCTCAAAATTAAAGAGTGAAAAAGGGCTGGGGATATAGCTCAGTGCGAAGGCGGGTTCAGTTCCAGTACTGCAAGAACAAACACTGTAACCTGAGGGCTGGAGATGGAGCTCAGTGGCAGAGGCCCTGGGTCTCATCCTGACACTAAGCAGATACCCAAGTGCCCGCTGTGCGCTCAACTCCCGGCCTGCGTTCCTTGCCATAGGAGCAGTCACCATGCGGTAGACTGAGTGTCCCTTTTTTGAGACAGGGTCTCACTACATATCCCAGGCTGGCCTGGAAGCCATGGTGATCCTCCTGTCTCAGCCTTCCACATGCTGGCTTGCAGGTATGCGCAGATCGTCCAGCTAGACCATACCTGCACCAGTTGACCTGCCACCTCCTGGGTCGCCACGAGGCCTGAATCTGGAACTGGCTTTTGCTAGGCGCCTATCCTCCCTGAACAAATGAAAGCTTGTTTTCAATGTGGTGCTGGGGACAGAACCTGGGGCATCTACACAGAGCTACATCCCCAACCCTTTTAAATTTTTTAAAAGACAGAGATAGGGTCTTCCTCAGTTGCCAGGCTGGGCTTCAACTTGCGATCCTCCTGCCTGGGCCTCCCAGAGTGCTGGGATGACACATCACCACCGAAGCACCTGGAGTCAAGTGTTTTTAAAAATGCCCTAGCAAAGGCGGCGTCTGCCTGCCACTGTAAGCAATGCATGCCTGAGAGGGGCTGGACCTGGAACATGGAGAGCGGAAGCAGGGTGCCTGAATCACAGACTCCCAGACTCTTCATATTTTAAGGGTTCAAGAGAGACCACACTTTCCGCCCCTTCCACTCCCCTCCCCTCTCCTGCCATTCTCCTCTCTCCCCCTCCTCCTCCCCACCCCAGGAGCTCACTATGTAGCCCAGGCTGGCCTTGATCTCCAGTGATCCTCCTGCCTCAGCCTCTGGGTGCTGGGATTATGGTGTGCACACCTGACTGTGCACCTCTTGACTCTGTTGCCCCTGATCCACATGAGCATCCCTTCAGTTTTCCATGGTCCCTGATGCCCCACTGTCACCTTAGGAGCAGAAGTCCGGGTCCCCCTGGCATACTGAAGCCTGGAGGGTGAACCAGAGTCGTTCCAGCCGGCTCACATGGGTTCGCACGGGAGGCTGAAGCGAGAGGCAGCGTTGGCCCAAGTGTGGGTCTATAAACTGGCAACTGACTGCTTCCTGCTTCCCAGCCTTCCTTGAGTCTGCTAAAACAGACTGCAGGCGTAAGTGCACAGCGTTCACAGAGGAGCAGCTGAAAATCCTCACTGCTGCCTTTGACCAGAAGCCTTACCCAGGCTTTGCTACCAGACAGAAGCTGGCTCTGGAATTCGGAATGCTGGTCCAGGTCAGTCACAGGCTCTGCATGTAGGCCAGAAGTGGAATGAAGAGAGCAAAACAAGTGCGGAAAGCTGAGGCAGGAGGATCTTGAGTTTGAGGCCAGCAGGGGATACACTCACAGTGCGCTAAGGGCTTTGCTCAGAGTCCTCAGTGACATGCAGAATAAACCATGCAGTGCTGCTCTGAGCCTCACTTCAGAGAGAGAGATGCCAGCCATGTGCCACAGCCAGGAGGCTGAGGCAGGAACAAGCTGGTGGGGATCCTCAGAGAGGGAGATGGCCGCGGTTGTCTCGGTTTGCTTTGGGCTTTTTGTTTTGTTTCTTTTATTTGCAGTGAGAGGTGCTGCCGCTGGTCTTTATAATGTGCAGGGACTGCAGAAACTGCCTAGTCACAGACGATGACAACTGGATTTCCTTTATTTTTGAGGCAGGGTCTCCGTATGCAGTTCAGGCTGACCTTGAACTCACTATGTAGCCCAGGCTGGCCTCAAACTCATGGTGATCCTCCTGCCTCAGCCTCCTGAGTTCTGGGACTACAGGCATGCACCCCACACCTGGCCCTGTTTTGTTTTCTGAGACAGGGTGTCACAAAATTACTGTCACATGGGCAGGGCAGCTTTCCTGACTCACTCATTCATGTACTTTTCGAAGCAGGGCCTCACTAGGTGCCCAGCCTGGCTACCTAGGGAAACATGTGAGGATCCTCCTGCCTGAGCCTCCTCAGCGCACCACGGCACCAGCTCCATGGGAAGGCCTCTCTTAAGCCCGCCATGTCGGGGATGTTTAAGGGTGGAGGTTGCCTTGTGGTCCTTAGTTCTCTGGGTCTGGATAAGAACAGCACGACTTGAGAGCTGGGTTTAATCTTCAGCACTGCATGAAGTGCACTCACACACACACACACACACACATAGCCCCACTCACGCACACTCACCCCGCCCCCACTCACACCTACTCACACTCACTCTCACTCCCACTCTCGGGGCCCGGGGTCCGGTGCTCCCATTGGCCCTGTCCTCCTCCATGCACCTGTTGGGTCCGTGCCCACTGACTTGCCTGGAGCCAGGGGGCCTGGGCCTGCGGTAGAGTTTTCCATCTCTATCAGCCCACGCGTGCCATACATATGACCACGTCCCCGCCGTGTAACACATCTGCATTCTTCTCAGCCCCTCGCCCTCCTTACTCCCCTCCATCTGCTTCCCCTCGGGAAAGATGGCTCCGTCTCCCTCCTTCTGTTCTCTACCTTTTATCTATCTTTGCTCTTTACTTGTATTTTGGGTTTCTCATACAAGAGAAACCATGCAACCTGTAAGCCCGTGTCTCACTTACTCTGCTTTAACACCGTGTGTGCCCTGGTGGTCTTGAGGTGCATCTGTTTTCCTATCAATCAATCCTTCTTCATGGCAGAGTAGTACTCTGTGGCATACACACCCTGTTTTTTCTCCCATCCATCTGTTGACGGACAGGCGGAGTACAGAGTCTCAGACTTACTTACCTTGTGTCCTCTCAACTTTCCTCCTGGCGTGGGCAGCGACAGGTATGGGTTCTGGGTCACAGCAACCGTCCTGATGCACCCTCCTCTGTGCCCACAGGTCAGGAGGCCAAGTGGCATCGCACCAGATACAGCATGGTGCAGCTGTGGGTCCTGAAACAGCCATTTCTGAGCCACCCCTACCCCGAGCTGGGCTCCCAACAGCAGCTGGCCCAGGAGCTCAGCGTTCCGGAGATTTCCATCCAGGTGAATGGGGCAGAGTGAGCGTCCTGGGCCCAGTAGGATGAGGCTGCTCTGCACTGAAGGTCCCCCTGCCCCATCCCCATGTCCTGTGGCAGGCACTGAATGGTGACCAGTATCGCTGCTGAGCAGAGCAGGACAGGGTGATGGCGTTGGCCCCAAGGTGCGCTGTGGAGCTCAGGCATGGAGTCACCGTCCTGGGCACCAGCTCCTCAGTTATGGGACACCCCACCCACGCAGCAGGGCACAACTGCTACCCTAGCACTCTGGGAGGCTGAGGCAGGGGCATTGCTCGTCGGAGCCCAGCATCGGCACCTTAGTGAGACCTCGTCTCAAAATCAAAAATTAAAGCGGTGGGGAGGGGGTGTTGCTCAGTGTGAAGGTCCTGGGCTCCATCCCCAGTACAGCAAGGGGTGGGGAAAGGAATACAATTCTGTTTAGGCCAGGGCTCTCTCCTTCAGCAGTTAGTGAACCTGCGGGCTGCAGCCCTGGGCTCCTCCTCCCTCTCCTGCCCCTCTCTGCCTCCCTGCTGAGAACCCATCCTACAGGGCCCCAGTTTGGGTGTTGCCCCTGCAGGCCGTGTTGGACTTTCGCCACCATGGGAACACTGGGGCCCCAGCGGTGACGCAGGGGTCCCGACCTCATCCACTCCTGTTGTTGGTGGCAAGGAGGAAGGGGCTCCCCACCTGGGGCTGGGGTGTCTTCCTGAAGGATCCTCCTCCAGGGTGTCCCTGGGCCACATGGGGCAGAAGGGAGGGAGAGGCCACAGCACAGGATGGGCACAGAGCTTTCCGTGGACCCACATCACCTGCCAGATGCACCTGAGGATCAGAGCTTGCATGGCCTCCCTGCCGGTCAGCCTTCGGGCACTCTAGGCGCCCCACTCAGTTCTTCCTTTTCTTGCCTCCCTCAGAACTGGTTCTGAAATCAGAGATCCAGACTCTTCTCCTGGAGAAGAGAGACTCTCTGCCCCACCCCCCAGCAGCAGAACAGGACCGAGGCCCCCTCCAGGGGAGCTAGGAACAAGTCAGAGGGTGATGCCTACAGGGTAAGGTCGTCAAGGTCTGCAGTGACCAATCACAGAGCTCCCGGGATGAAATACAGCGAGAGGGTGAGAATATGAAGAGACAAAGCTGGGGTCTGGTGGAGCCCTCTCTCTGGATGGGAGGACAGGAACTGCCCCTTGCCTTAGGAGAGTTTGTTTTTACACTCAGCAGCACAGTTTCTCCCAGTCCTTGCTGCCTAGAAACCCATTGTGTAGTCGTCTAGGGGCTTGGTGTTTCTCTGGGGTGAAGCAGCTTCTTCCTGTGGCTTCCCAAGGGCGCTCCTTGTTCCTGGGATGGCCATGCTCCGGCCCTGTGTGTGATCAGTTTCCAGCTACGGGGCTCCTCACAGGTCCCCACCCCGGGTCTAACTCTCCAGGAGCCTGCAGCCCGGGAGACTCCTGCCCGGTGAGGCTGTGGTGGTGTGAGTTTGCTTCTCACTGTCCCTGGAGGGATCACAGTGCTCAGCTGCTGAGGGTGCAGTGCAGAGTGGGGTGTAGCATGGGCCAGGCCATGGGCGTGAGGTCCGGGAACGACCCATCTTAGCTTTCTTAGAGGCCAAGGCTCCTGCTGCACAGGAATTACCCGCTGCAGGGGTATCTCCCAGGCCTTCCTTAGGTGGTGTCACCAGCACCTTACCCTAGAGCAGTGATGAGAACAGATCAGGTAACAGACAGATGGACAGATAGACAGATGGGAGGACATTGTCTCCGCACGTGCAGCTCAGCCCCATTGCAAGCAAGGAACCCACTCTGGGGCACCTGTCTGATCCTGGCCTCTCACCTGGGAGCCCCTGGTGCTTACGGAGCAGAGGTCCAGGTCCACTTCAAGCTGGGCACTCCTTCCTGGCTCTTCACAGGCAGATGCAGGAGGTGCCAGTGGCACCAGCTTCACCAAGAGCCTGACTGGGCCTGGTCATGTGGACCCCTCACTGTATGGAACGTCCTGAGTGGGGTCTGTGACACTCCCACACCATCTTGGGGTCTCCCCCACTGCAGAGGCCTCAGAGCTCACAAGAGGGGGACACAGGGCTTCAGGAGGCAGAGACAGCTACAAAAGGCACCATAAACCCTGCATGGTGATATACCAGGAGGCTGAGGCAGGAGGATCACTTTGAGTTTGACAAGGCCAGTCTGGGCCACGTGGCAAGACATTGTCTTTAAAAAATATGTTAACAAGAAAAAGTAAATACTGAAAGAGGAAAGGAGACTGGGATGCAGGTCAGTGGTAGAGGATGTGCTTAGCATGTAAGGATGTGTGAGCCAAGCAGAAAGACAGATAGACAGAGACAGAGAGACACAGGGAGACACAGGGATGGACCACAGAGAGACACAGAGACAGAGACACAAGAACAGACCACAGAGAGAGTCAGAGACAGACAGAGAGACAGACACAGGGACAGACCACAAAGAGAGACAGAGACAGACAGACAGAGATAGACAAGCACAGAGAAAGAGAGACACAGAGGCAGAGACATGGGCACAGAGAGGCAGAGAGGGAGGACTGCCTGCCCACAGGGGATATAAGTGGCCCGGGACCATGGGAAGTGCCATCTGAGCCCATAAGGGCACAGACAGAGTGGGCACAGCCACAGAGGCGGAGTCGACGGGGCGCTCCTTCTCCTGCTGCCCACTCTCTGTTAAGGACAGGCCTCCTCCCAGCGTGCTTCGAGGACTTGATTCAGGACCGAGTCACCCCATGGAGGATGCCTTTACCTCTGCCTGTGCTGCCTGCGCCCCACCCCATCCCCAGGAGGCCCCTGTGTCCCGTGTGTGACCTGGTCCACAGGAGCTGTTGTGGAGTTCCCGCCACCTGCCATGCCTTTCCTGCTTGCACACGGCATGTCAATTGAACTCTATGCTGCAGCTTGGCTGGGGATTCGGACTCTTGCAATGCCGCCCACCACCACATTCAGATCATTACAGCTGCCTTCCAGAGTCCTCAGTGTGCAGTCTTCCATCTGGGCAGACACTGACTTTTTTCTGCTACATGGCTTGTACTTCCTCTAGTCTGCTTCCTGTGTGTTGAGTGACTCCTAAGCAGGTCTGGCTCAGCCCTGGGCATGCTCTCCAATGCTCCTTGGAATCCCCGCTCAGCTGTACCCGGCACCCTCCTGTGACACACGTGGCATAGCAGTACCAGCTGCCACAGCAACCTGAGCTTCTGGTCACACTCAGCCTGTACTGGAAACTCCCCACGGGAGGCCTCCATGTGACCTTAGAAATGAAATATGTGTGTGTGTGTGGAGGGGGGGCACTCAGGATTGAACCCAGGGCCTTTGAATCCTTAGCCATCTCTAATTTTCTAAAAGGTTTTATTTTGCCAGGCATGGTGGTGCACACCTGTCATTCCAGCACTCGGGAAGCTGAGGCAGGATTGCTGCTTACTTGAGGTTAGTCTGGACTACATGGTGAGACCCTGTCCCAAAACCAAACCAAACCAAACCAAACCAAAACACATACATTTGTGAAAGCATATCTCAAAAATTATGACTTAGCTTAGTAAGTGCTCGGAGGAAAACAGTTCTGTGTGCCTTGCCCATGTGTGCTAAAATATGTTCTTTTGTCCAGTTTTAATGGTGGCCCTTGAAAGGGATGATCTTAACAAAAAATTATTTTTTTTTTTTGAGATAAGGTCTCACCATGCAGTTCAGGCTGAACTTGAACTTACCGTGTAGCCCAGGCTGGTCTCAAATTCATAGTATCCTCCTGCCTCAGCCTCCCCAGTGCTGGGATGACAGGCGTGTGCCACCATGCCAATAAGTACTTGGATCTTTATTCATTCATCTGTTGATGGGCACTGGGACTGTTTCCAAGATCTGTTATGAAATACGCTGCTGTAAACATGGGTGTGCATGTATCACTGCGGTACGGTGCCTTTAACTCTTTGGGAAGAGGATTACCTGGCTTAAGTGGGACTCAGTTTTCTGAGGCATCTTCACGGTGATTCAGTACCCCCAGCAGTGAGGGAAGACTACAGAGCTGGGCTGCGCTCCCGCTCCGGTTAGGCTGCCCGGGCTCTTGCTGGACTCTGCAGCCGGCAGAGCCATTGCCCAGCAGAGGGCGCCCGCGGGGTTACCCTGCACCCACACAGCTGCTCACAGCCTACGGAGCAGGCTGCGACTTTAGACCCGGTCCGCTCCTAACCCTAACCTTGGCCCTGCGCTCAGGTCCGGCCAGACCCTGACCCCGCCTCGCCCCCTCCCTCAGCCCAGGCTCCCCCACGCCGGGTGTGGGTGCAACACCGGCCGGGTCCTCCCCGCCCTGCTGACTTCCACACGCGGCTCCCCGCTGCACTCGGGCAAACCCACGGCTGGACTTCCCAGCCCCAACTCTTTGCCCAGCCTCCCTGGCCACGGGCCAAGGGCTGCCCATCTGGAGTCCCAGGGAAGAGGACATCGGGATGCAGACTCACCCAGGGGCAGGCCCTGGGAGGACACGAGGAGGTGTTACCAGCGTGCTGTGCTTCTCGTAGGGAAACTGAGGCACAGGACAATCACATACCTTCTGTTCCAGGCCCAAAAGCCAGGTGGAGCAGACACAGGTTGCTGGACAGAGGCTGGTTCTGGCACTTACTCTTGTTGGTGGCAGGACCTCCCCTCTGCTGGCCTGGCCTTGGGTCCTCACCCCTTTGGGGTGCACAGCCCCCTTCGGATGGTAAGGGGCCTCCCTCCTCAGTCGCAGCTGTGACCTTGGTGTCCTTGGGGCCCTGCCGGGCACACAGACACACGGGTGGGAAGAGCTGAGAGCCCTGCTGTGGGCTGTAGTGCTGTAAGCAGCTCTGGGTGCTGGGTGGGGGGCGGGGGATGAGAAAATAAAGGAGAGACAAGGCTGGGGTCAGGAGGAGCCCTCTCTCCTGATGGAAGGGAGGGAACTGCTCAACCAGTGCAGTATGTGTATTTATATCCTCCAAAGAAGAATGTCAATTTCAGCCCCTCTGCCTAGCAGCTTGTCTGCCTGGCTGGCCTGGGCCCCTGCCTTCATGGACTGGAACAGCTTGTTTAGGTAGTTAACCATGGGCTCTCTGTGTTTTCAGAGCTGGCCTTGCTTTAGCCATACACTTGTGATCAATCTCCAGCTTTCACGGCTCCCTGCATCAGGCCTAATGTGCTGCTCAGGGCAGGGGCCTCACCATGGCACTAATCTGCCATGGTGTGGATTTTACAAGTCCTGATTCATGGAGGGGGCCTGGGTGCACAGAGGCTCCCACATGTGTCCAGCGCAGGTGGCTCCTCTGTCACTGCCAACACCAAACACAGAGTTACCCGGATGAACCTGAATTTTTTACTGGTACTGCTGCTGGACACAGCTCTTAAGCCTTTTTCCCTGCCTTTCCCTGGCTCAAGGTCCCAACAGTCACCCCTTCTCCCTATTCCCGCCCCTTTCTCCTGCTCCTCCCCTCTCCTTCTCAGAGCAGCCCCAGCCTGGTATGGCAGCCCAGTCACACCTGAGAGGGCCCCAGGTCCCTGCTTCCTGAGTCCTCCCGGGTTCCGCTGCTGCTGCTGCTGCGGTGGCGGCTCCAGAGAGGACAGGGCTGGCTGCGAAGTCCTGTCAGGCCTTGGAATGACGGTGAGCTGATTGGGGTGGCCCAGTGCCCACCAGCAGCTCCCCAAGACCCGCTGGACAGGGGCGGCACTAGCATCCTGTGGCCCTGGCAGCCCAGCTCTCCGTCTGCTCCATTCCTCCCACCCGCGACCCCCAGTCGCCCTGGGACTGAAGCACTGTTCCGTGGCTCCTGCGATTCCTCTGCCCGTGGCCGTAGCCTTCGTTCACTTCCCGCTGCCCTGGGACCCGTGGTTCTGTGACTATGCATTTTGTGGGCCTCAGTTTTGGTACCTAATGATCCCATTCTCCATGGTTCACTGATGGCTCCATGTTTTTTGTGCAGTGAGGCACAGGGATTTGCTTCTTGTGCAGGTCTCATGGGTGTCTTTGGTGTGCCCATTAAATTTCTTGGCTTAGTTTCCCTAAGAATTAAAATGCTATTGTTTTTGGTGGTTTTAAGAATCATAAAGTCTGCCTTGAATTTTTCTGAAAAACATAAAATTTTTTTTCAGTAACGGGTCTATGCACTGAGCTACAGCCTGATGCGTTTTTATTTTTCTATTTATTTATTTATTTGTCTTTTTTGAGACTGGATCTCACTATGCAGTTCAGGCTGGCCTTGAGCTCACTTTGTAGCTCAGGCTGGTCTCGAACTTGCAATGATCCTCCCACCTCAGCCTCAGGAGTGCTGGGATTACAGGCATGAGCCACCACACCCGGCTGCCTTTTTATTCTGAGACAGAATTTCGCTAAGTTCCTCAGGTGCAACTCAAATTTTCAATTCTCCTGCCTCAGCCTCCTGCAGTGCTGGGACCTCAGGCATGGACCACCACACCCTACTCTGATAGCTGATGTAAACTGAAAGGATAGACTCTTTTAATTTTGTGTCATTGTTTTAAATTTTCTAGATACTCCTGCTGATGTTTTTTTTTTTAACTTTTTTGTTTTGTTTTTTAGTTTTATTGAGACAAGGTCTTGCTATGTAATCCGGGCAGGCCTCAAACACACAGCAATCCTCCTGCCTCAGCCTCCCGGGTGCTGGAATCCCAGGTGTGTGCCACCACACCCAGCCAGTACCTGGCTTCTTTAAAAAGAAGCTAAAGCTTTTTGGAAAGTAATGATACATCTGCATGCTAACAGGAGAGAGGCATGGGCTAAATCTCCCTCCCACCCACTCTGCTTTTGCTTCCCCTTCTCCTGTGTCCTCTCAGAGCTGTCCTGAGGGATGAGCGCTGCCTGAGTTTGCTTCTGTCTGTAACCACAGTCTCAGCAGCAGTTTAGGAACCCAGCTTGGCTCCTGTCTCCATGGCAACAGCTGGAGGGGAAGAGACTGAAACAATGGGGGGAGGGGGCAGGAAGGAGCGGCAAGGACTGAGGCTGAGAGTGCCAACCGCATTGCCCACACACCTCGACAGGCATGAGGGCCAGGGGTGGGTTGTCACTGTGTCCATCCCATGCTTCCCTCTGTCCCCTCCTTAGCACAGAAGCTTGGATTCATCTCTTTGTGGCCTCCCTCCTTGGAGATCTGGGAGGGAAGTGTGTACAGTGGCTCCCCCAGCACCTGGGCTGGGCTCCCACTTGGGATCTGCTTGGCTCAGCCTCCAGTGGTGGACATAGAGGTGTCCAGCAGCACAGCCTCCTCACAGTTAAAACGTTCTGAGGAAAGGGAGTCACCCGATCTTCCTGGTGGAAGGGAAAACGCAAACCACACTGGGTCTGGGGAAAGAAGGCAGCCTGGGAAAAAACAGGGCAGGACTCAATCCGCTGCAGACAGGGACTGCCATAGAGAGATCACTAAGGTACAATGTCATGTGGAACAGAATGATGCAAAGCTTAGAACAGAAACCCTTGCTGTGGCCAGGCTTGAACAGAAAGCATGCTTGCTTTGTACACAAAGAATCGGTGAGATCCAAGTCATAGATGGGCCTTTATGGGCAGGTAGGGGCTGTAGAGGTCCTGCTTTTGGGGACCTGTTTGCATACTTGTTTATCAGCAGTAGCTGTCTCTGTGGCTGGGGTCATCCCATCCTACCTGGCTGTTTATTGTTTTGTTGATCAGTGGTAAGGCCGTTCTTCAACAAAGAATAAGCCTGCTAGAGACATTTCTTTTTTTTTTTTTTTTTTTTTGTCTTTTTGGGGGCTGCGGATTTAGCTCAGCAGCATAAGCACCTGCCTTGCAAGTGTGTGGTTGTGAGTTCAATCCCTGGTACTGATAAAAAAAGAAATAGAGACATTTCTATACAACTCTGTTCATGGATATAGATTTTCACTGCCTTTCCACGTCTTCATTTATTTCTTTATTAGAGATGAGCTTTGCTGTGCTGCCCAGGCTGACCTCAAACTTGGGAACCTCCTGCCTCAGCCACTCAGTACCTGGGCTGGCAGAGCACACCACAAATTGATTTATTATAAATCCTAAAAATCAGTTTAAATATCCTGCTTTATTTCTGTATCTCTTAAGAATTTTTACTCTGGTTCCTTTGTTGTTTTTTGTAAATTTTAGAATCAGAGTGTCAATTTCTACCAAAAAATGGTGTGGGAATGTTGACTGGGTTATAAAACCAACCTTGGCTGGAGAGGCCATGCTTTCAAACCATGATGTCCTATTTCTCTCCAGTGATCCAGTCTTCTGCAATTTCTCTCATCGGTGTTTTCTGGTTTTGTTGTTTGGTTAAATAGAGGCTTTTTATGTCTTTTGTTAGATTTGCACTGGGGATCTCATACTGTTAGATACTGATGTAAACAGTGCTGGGGACCAGGAATGGTAAATCAACATAATATCTGTCCTCTGCTCTGCTTACCCTGCCTGCCCTGTAGGCAGCTTCTGGGATGCCTCACTGAGGTCATCCTGCTTGTTTCCTTAGAATGTGAAAATCAGCATTCTAACTCGGCCTCTGTGCTGCTCCGGGAAGCACCTGCCTCTCCCCTACACTGGCTTATAAACAGTGGCTGCCTGGAGTGTCTTTGTTTGCCCATCCTGAGGTGACCTCCCAGCCCCACCATGCATTACTGGAAGGGTGTCTGTTTCTTCTCTCATCCTTTCTTTATATCCTGACAGACAGATAGTTGGGATCTTGGCCAGGTTCCCAATAAATGGCATTTTGAAGAGGTCATTTTCCAATCTATTATTGACGACCGATTTCTAAATTTTGTTTTTTCCCCATGAACCAGAGCTTTAAAGCATTTTATTGTATTGTCTTTTTTTCGGGCCCTATTCCATAAGCTGGAATTCCTTAATGCACACATGGTACAAATGTTAGCTGCCACCTCTTTGACAGATGCCGGTGACACTCATAAAACAGCTGATTTCATCATATAGAAACAGTAATCTTTATTCCTTCTGATCTTGGTTCATTTTGAAGAAAGTACAAGAATGCTAAACACACAGAAACTTCTCTTCCACTTCTGAGCCTGGTTTTTCCACCTCTGCCTCCTGTGGCAGCTTTGCTAGCCCCGACTCCCTCTGTGTCACCCCGAGATAGGTCTGCAACGTGTTTATGCAAAATGACTTGCACCTATGCGCACGCGCCAACTCGTGGTGTGTCATCATGCATGTGTTACCACACACGTCGTCCGCCGTGCTGCGTGGCTGAGCACAGGGGTTCCGCATGATGACATCTCCAGGCCTCCAACCTCTTCGCCCTGATTCATCTCCGGTGCTGGGCTTGTTCATTTTCCTTTCATTATAGATGAATCTTCCACAGTGTGAGCACCCTAGGATTCGTGGGGTGAAGCCAGTTGACCACCACGAACGAAGCAGTTGTCTCCCTTCTCTTACCTGGTCCCAGAGAAGCAGCAGAAAGGGACCTCAGTCTGTCCCAGGCGCAGGGCTGGATGCCCTGCAAGGTCAATGGTCATGAGCATGCGCAGGTGAGCTCGGCTGCATCCTACCTTTGGGGCATTGGTCTTGGCCAGCACTTGTGGGTTTTTCTTTTTCCACTTTAAAAAAATTTATTTTTATTTTGTAAATGAGGAGGGGCAGAGTGGCTGAAGGAAGTGGAGGGAAATGGGGATAAAAGAAGAAGCACAATATATTGTGTACAGATACAAATTCCATATGATGGATGCTATTACTGTATCTAAAATGTACCAATAAAATAAAAAAGCTCTGCAAGGCATGATAACGTTTTATTTTCATTGGTACATGTTTGTAGTATATAATGGTTAGACATGTGGTGGGAGCTGGTGTGGGAACATAGCACATTTTAGTCTGTTTTACACCCCTGTCCCACACCTGTGTTCCAGGTCCAGGACACAGAGAGACCCGCAGCCAGGCAGGGAAAAGGGACTATGCGCGTGGCTTCTCCACACCCATGAGGATACAGCTTTCTGGGCCCCCTCTGTCTCCAGATTCATTCACTGCTTCATTCACCTATTGATTATTTACTAATTTTTAATTTTTATTTTTGGGTTTTTGAGACAGGATCTGACCATGTAGCCCAGGCTGGCCTTGAAACTCATGGCGATCTTCTAGCCTCAGCCTCCTGAGTGTTGGGATTCAGTGTACACTACCGTGCTGGGTTTGTTAGGTAAAGGACAATGTTGCTGGGTGTGGAGGTGCATGCCTGTAATACCAGCACTTAGGAGCTGAGGAATCACCATGAGTTCAAGGCCAGCCAGGCTACATAGTGAGAGATTATTGAAGAAAAAGAAAGAAAGAAAGCAAAGAAAGAGAGAGAGGGACAGAGAACAATGTGTGTGAATAGTCCTGATTGAAAGCAAAGCTCCTGTAGGTAGGTGGGAGGGCTGCAGGCTCCTGGGCCTGGTGAAGGGGGGCTGCTGAGGGAGACCTCAGTCTCCACTGCAGTGCTGCATGTAGCCGCTGGGTGCCAGCTGAGGAGGTGAGGAGAGATGCCTGTGGCTGCATGAGGGGGGAATCCTGGGGCAGGGGGATGTGCAGAGGTGGCCAAGGTCTCCCTGGAGATGGTCCAGGGGCTTCTCCTCTGGGTCCCACCCCGAGGTCTGCTGGGTTTTGACTGACAAATAATAATCTCATATACTCGAAATTGAAAAAGAATGATAATAGCTACAAAAAATCATCAATCAAAGATAAAGGGGTTGCCAAGAAGACATGGCACCTATGATCAATCCAGGTGACCCACGATGGCACTGGTGCCAGCACCAGAGGCCTCCATCCCAAACCCTTCTCCCGGCAGCCACAGGGGAGCTCAGGCCCCAGGCACTGGGCTTGCTATAACCTGGGATGGCCTGGGCCTCCTGATCATGGCTGTGGGTGCTATGGATGTGTGGGGGAAGAAGCCGGTGCTCGGGGCAAAGCACAGCCAAAGGGTTGCCGTGGGGATGGTTTCCATGGAATCATGGGGTGTAATTATCAGAGGACTGTATAGGGATTGGAGCTCATGTGCTCTCTCTTTCTCTGTCTCTCTGTCTCTCTCTCTGTCTCATAAAATGGCTTGTGTGATGTGTGCGACACCACAGGGCACACACTGACCCAAAAGTGCTCTTTGCTTGGACTTGCTGAGAAAGGTCCCACAGGAGGATGAGAAGCCTCTCTGGAGCAGGGGAAGGTCACACCCTGACACTCGCTCTGTGTACAGGTCCACACACACACACACACACACACACACACACACACAACACACACACACAACACACATGGTGTGGTGGATTGACTTTCCTATTTTTTGCAGCAATGCACTCAAATGTGATGGCTCAGACTCAGGCTCAGCTGGACTCCACCATGGCAGGGCCTCCTCCAGGAGGACCCACAAGAGGCTCTCAGGGCTGGGGAAATATGAGGTGAGATGGAAATGCATGGCTTACAGTAAGATGCCTCACCACCATGCCAGGCATCCCTCAGGCCCTCCCTGTACTCTTGATGGCAGGGGAGGAAGCTCCTGGCTGCTGGGTGTCCTGTACATGTTCATGTTTGCAGACATCAAAGAATGAATCTTGAGAACAATGGAGGACAGGAGCAGGGTATATTTATGGAGGAAAGAGAGTCTGCCCGTCTCAGCAGCGGGGTGGGGGGCCCGAGTAGGTTGCCGTGGACCCTGCATTTCTAGGGATTTTTACAGAGCAAATCCGTGACATAAAGCAGGTCCAGGATGGGGAAAATGGGCAAGCGCAAGGCGGGCATAAGGTGGGACAGAACTGTGGTCAGCCAGTAAGCCCATGAGTGCAGCTGCTCAGGTGAGGTGCTTAAACCAGGATCAAACGGGGCAGCGAGCCATGCAGCAGGCGGACAGGAGTAGAACAGAGCCTTTGCCTCTGCGGGGCTGGGTGATGACTCTTTCTGGCTCCAGAGTGATAGCAACCTGCTTAGAATGTCAGTCCATGCTGCTTACCTTAGGAAGTGCGTGCCTGCGTTTGTGTTATCTTCTGTTTCGAGGTCTGGCTCTGCTGCAGAGGCGCCTGGCTCCCCCACAGTTGCAGATGTCTGACCTTCTGCACTGGCTGCCTGAGGGCCCATCCCTGTCTAACTGCCTAGAATATTTCTGTGTAACTCAGGTGCCTGTAACACTGAACGCACTCATTCCATCATTCTGGCCACTTTTTTGTTTATTTTGGGTTTTTTGAGACTGCGGTTCAGGCTGGACTTGAACTCACTTTGTAGCCCAGGCTGGTCTCAAACTTATGGCAATCCCCCTGCCTCAACCTCCCATATGCTGAGATTATAGGCATGCACCACCATGCCTAGCTTCTTTCTTTCTTTTTTCTTTTCTTTTGTTAAGTTCTCACTGCTATGTAATGAGAGTGTAGTGCCAGGCTGGCCTTGAACTCGCAACAGTCCTCCTGCCTCAGCCTCCTGAGCACTAGGATTACAGGTGTGCTGCACCACGCCCAGCTCTAGCCACTTTCTGCAGCAGCTCTGGAGTCCTCTTTCCTAAATGTCTTCATAAGATGTGATAAAAAATATGGGGTGTCCAGGAGAGGAGGGGGAAGAGGAAGGGAAAGAGCATCTGTTCGGGATGCTGAAGTCCAGCCCATGCCCCAGAATCTCTGCAGGGCATGTGAAAGGCAGGTGTGCATCATGGCACCGAAACATGAACCTAGCTCACAGCAGAGCCCATGAGCCCACAATACACAGCAGGTCTACCATTGTTCCGTGATCATTTCTGGGCTACAGGTCAGAGCAGCCACATTGTAGTCCAGACCAGAGGTCCACAAAACTGAAAATACTAGTTGGATTAGGTTGCTGGTCTAGTTTGCTGATCTCCAATGTCAAACATAAAAATTAACACATTAATGCACTCAGGTTTCCTTAGGAGAGACATTTCCTTTCTTTGCTTACTTGTTTGCTTGATGGATAAATGGATGGATGGATGGATGGATGGATGGATGGATGGACACGTGGATGAATGGGTGAGTGTATGTGTGGGTGGATGGGTGGGTGGGTGGGTGGATGGATGGATGGGTGGATGGATGGATGGGAGGAAAGAAGAAAGGATGGATAGATAGATGGATAGGTGGATGCTGCAGATGAATGGTATACTTTTGTGCTACTGATCAATTTTATTTGAAACATACTCTGGATTCTGGAGCCACCCCTGTGTGCACATAGAGAAGACTGCCCACACTTTCCACTATGTAAAGCCACTGCCCTGGGCACAGAAATTTGTGAGTGAAGAGATCAGGGAAGAGTCTCATCCTACTTTATTGAGGATGAGGTGAGAGGGAAGCAGCTTCCCTGTGCCTTGCAAAATCAAACCAGGACACCGGGGTGGTCAGGAGAGGCTTACTCTGTGGAACAAGCTGTCCTCCACTGTCCTGTCTGACTAATGTCCATGAAGGGCCCCTGAGGTTCCTCGGCATCTGCCTGCCTCACACGCCTGCCTGGGTCTGACCCTGGGAGTTGCTGGTCTCTGTCCCAGTGCCCTTGGCCTCTTGCTGACCACCCTGGTGGTCAGCTGTGGTTTCCTCACCTGTTAGACGGGAGTAATTGTAGCCACTCCACCCTGCTGGTGCAAGAGCAACTGGAAAACCACAGAAAGCCCTCAGCCAGCCCGGGCTGCCTCGGCCACGCACCATGGCCCCGGCAGCCTGCATGCCACGGGAGGCTGGGTGTCTGGGGGCAAAGCATCCACAGACTCTCTCAGGGTGCCCTGGTCCTCAGTTTGCTGTGTCCTCCTTGGGCAAGGATGTAGCTTGTTTCTCTGGGGCGTCTTCCCACCCCTGAGTGTCCTGTCTCCTGACCCAGGCACTGGGATGAGGATGCTGCCTTGGGACTGTGGGAGCCCTGGCTCAGGAGCAGGGGCTCAGTCAAGGCCAGTGGGAAGCAGAAGTGAAAGCCGGCAGGGAAGAGGGAGGGTCACAGCTGGAGATCACACTGTCAAGCAGCCCAGACCAGGTTCCCCACCTGCCTCCCTCGGTCCACTGGGGCTCTGTCCTTGCAGACCGTAGTGCCCAGTTCTCGGTCTAGGAAGCCCTGTGCCCCTCCCTCCTGGGCACCTGTGCTGTTCCTGAGTCCACACCTTTTCATTTCTGCCCCATGGACCCTTCCAGGCCTCTTCCCTGCGCATCCTGAAATCCTCCTCCCAAGAAAGCAGTCACAGAACCTGCGGCCAGCAGGGTGGGTCAGGTCCCTGCCTCAGTTCTTGGCACCCCAGCACCCACCATCCCAGCTGTGACTTCCACATAGGTGAGAATGGGAGGGGGTGATGCCCTTGTCCCTGGGGCTGAAGTTCGGGAGCTTCTAGCTGGGTGCATAGTCCGGGGTGAAGGTGGCTAAGGAGATGGCACACTGCACCCCGGGCCCAGCCAGTCACACTCAATGATTTGACAGGGAACACTTATGCGGGGTGAAGCTTGGACGGGGTGAGCTGTAAATCCGGCTTTTGCTGTGAATTCAAGTGTCACAGACCTTCGTGTTGTCAGAGCATGCCCAGAGCTAGCCATGGTGACAATGATGCACACTTGTGAGTCTAGCACTGTGGGATGCTGAGGCAGAAAGATCCCAAGTGCCAGTCCAGCCTGGACTCCTTTTGACTTAAAAAGACCCTGTGTCAAAATAAGAAAGGACTGGGCATGCAGCTCAGGATAAAGGTCCCCAGGTTCAAACCCCATTACCACAAAGCAAAAAACAAAAGACAGCAAGCCAGCCGCTGGGGGAAACCCAGCCCAGATGGATGGGCTAACGGAGAAGCCCTGTTCTCACAGGAAGTCCCCTCCCAGCGCCACCTGGGCCGTGTTGAGACCGGACCTGAGTTCCACCCGGGCTGAGCTCCCAAGGCCGCGTCACTGGGGCCTGGCCTGACTCTGGGTCCAGAGTGGATTCATCTGGATTCATCAGCCTGCTGATCACCAGGTACCAGGAAAGCCCACGCCAGTAGGAAGTGAGTCCGTTCCCACTGGCCAGGCTGGGTGGGCAGCGAGTTGGCCAGGAGGCTGAGGCGGGGAGATCACAGGTGGCACAGGTGGCACAGGTGGCCCACACCAGGAGATGCTGCGGCCTGGTTCTGAGGACCCAGCTGGGCTGGTCCTGCTGTAGCCCAAGGAAGCGGGGCAAAGGGCTCCTTGGGGCTTCTTGGTCTCACCAGGATTCAGTCACTTTCTGCTTTCACAGCGAAGAATTTCAACTCGTAAAATCGCAGAGCTGCAGACACCGCCCAGGAGCCTGCAGGTTTATCTGTTCACAAATGGGGAGGGAGAAACAGGTGGGTTCTGAACAATTTAAAGCAAACACACAGTGTAACGCCAGATTCTGGAATATTCCCTGCTGTAGGTTCTCTCCACCCATGATACACATCCATCTCCAGCTCCTGGTCCCAGCAGATGTTTCCATGGTAACAGCCAGAGCTGGCCTGAGTTGCTAAGCAACTAAAGAGAAGGAACAGGATGGAGCGGGATGGAGAGGCCAAGCCTGGAGCTGGGGGCGCCCCACCTGCATTTCCCGGCTTTGTCCTGTGACGTGGTCTTTGCAGAAGGCAAAGTCCCGACCTCCACAGTCACATCAGCAGTGGCCAGGACAGATGCAGGCCCCTTTTGAGATCACCCACGCTTCTGGCCACATCGCCCACGCCTGCACAGCAGGAAAATGTGGTGCCTTTCCTCCAGCAGCCAGTGTGTGCCTCACTCGGCCTCTGGAGCTGGCTGGAAGGGTCTGTGTCTCGTCTACAAGTGTCCTGGTCAATTCTGCATCAACTGACTTTTTAACATGGGTGTTTTTTTTTCCTTTTTTGAGTAGCAGGTACTGAACTCAGGATTCCCACTTGCCAGGCAGGTGTTGGGCTGCTGAGCTGTGTCGTGGGCCCCAGTTGGTTTTTAAAACTACACCCCTGGGTGGCCAAGTATTGTGGGGCTTCGTGGTCTGTGCACTTCTCACGGAGCGGCTGCTCTCTCACACCCTGCCTGGATGCTGGGCCGCATGCCCTGCAGGATGGGCTGGCACAGGGGCTGAGGGACACTGCTGAGGGTGTCACGTGGTCACAGGTTCCTTGGGTACCTCAGCTGTGGGACACTGGAGTGAGAACACACAGGACCTCTATGCAGGTGGAAACAGCAATCACAGCTGCTAGGGGCCACTGCTGTCCCCGAGGGCAGGCGAAGACACAGAGGGTCGGAGTCAGACTCACAGGAGCCCGGCTCGGACACAGTCTGCAAGAACTGGGCTGCAGCTCAGTGCAGAGGGCCTGGGTTCAGCCTCAGTACCCAGAGAAGGGCAGTTCAGTACTCAGAGCTCCTGCGATGCCTGCTGACCCACAGACAACCAGAGGCCAATTCTGATTCAGATTCTGGTGACTCAAACCTGTTTACAAGCCAGCACTCCGAGGGGGAGGGTAGTTACTTTCTCCCAAATAAAATAACCATAACCAGAGGCCTTGGCCTAGGGGCCGCTCCACAGGGACCCACAGAGCCAACGGGTCCACAGAGTCCTGACCTGGTGGCCTGGCTGTCCTCCTCCTGTTCCCATGGTAACTGCCTAACCTCCAAGTGTGAAGCCTCTACCCCCCCCCCCCCGAGGAACCTCGGCCCCAGCAGCTCTTGTAATGGTGATTTTTCAGTTTCTTCACATTGTTTTGTATATGTATGGGTTTTAACTTTTATTTCTATTTTTATTAGCCCACATCTGCAGTGCATAGATTGCATTCTTCGTGTGGCACTGATGCATCTTAATTCTCTTTTCATCCTCTTTCCTCATCTGTCTGTCCTCTCGGTCCGCGTCCCCTTTGAGAAAGAGCCGTCTCCCTATTTCCCGATATGTCTTTACTTGCACTTTGGATTTCTCGTATAAAAGAAGTCATGTGATACACAAGCTTCTGTATCTGATTTCTTTCACAGAACGTCATGGTCTCCAGGTACCCATTTTCCTACAAATGACTCCAGTTCATTCTTCTTTATGGCTCAGTAGTACTCCATGTGTGTGGATACCGCATTTTTTTTATCCATGCACCTGCTGATGGACATACAGGCCATTTCCAAGCCTTAGCCATCACAAATTGTGTTTTATAAGCATAGGTACACACGTATCACTCTTTTGGAAAGAAACTTTTTTTTAAGCACTAGGGATTGACTCTAGAGTGCTCTCACTAAGCTACAGCCCCAACCCTCTTATCTTTTATTTTGAAGCAGAGTTGCCAAGTTGCCCAGGCTGGGCTTGAATTTGTGATCCTTCTGCTTCAGCCTTCTAGGGTGCTGGGGTTCTGGACTGTCGGGCCATCCCTGCCTCTCCTGTAGTTGGAATTCCCGTTCTCCTCGCCTCCCTCCCAAGGCTGCTGTGTCTTACTCTTCATGTTTCTGCTCCAGGGTCAGAGCCTGCGGGAGGATGGGAGGGGAGTGCCTGGGGCCCAAGGCAGGGGCCAAGATGAGCCGCAGAGGGTGGAGGCTGAGGCAGTGGGTGGAAGGACACCAGCTCCTGGCGGGGAGACTGAGGTTTGTCAAGTGCTCTGTCCCTTGGAACCCAGCACCTGGGAGGCTGAGGCAGGAGAATACTACATTTGAGGCCACCCCAGAAGACTTAGACCCTGTTTCAAAAAGAGCAAGGAATGGAATCTGAGAGAAAGCTCTGGGTACACCAGGGAACACCAGAGCGGGAGGGCATTGTGGGTAACAACCAGAAAAGTGCCCACCCTGGCCCGTGGAGTCTGAGTGGGTGTGGACTCCGGAGCCTGTGTCCTGAAGCAAAGCCCCGGGGACCCTGCCACCATCCCCACAGGGCAGGCTTGATGTCAAAACAGAGTCCCTGAGCGTCTGATCAGAAAAGTCTCAAAGGATCTGAAAAGAGGATTCACAAGAGAGAAAATGCAAAACTTTTGAGAAGCATGAAAAGATTCTCCAACTCCCTTATGATACAGAGGTACACTCAATATTCATCAAAGCCCACAGGGACAAGCAGCTCAGGACTCCCAGCCACAGGTGCGTATGGTCCATCCACACAGAGGAATATTACTCAGCCTTAAAAAATCAGGGGCTCATCCACAGAGGAACCTGGAGGCCACAGAGCTCTATGACGCACACCAGTCACAGAAAGACCAATACTGTATGGTTCCCCAACACAAGATCCCTCCGGTGGTCAAGTGGTGGGGACGGAGAGCCAAGCAGTGGTCCCAGGTACGGAGGAGAAGAGGGGGCAATAGCTGCATTTCATGGACTCGGAGTTTCCATTCCCGTGCTGGAGATGGAGGCCCCTGAGCCACAGTCCTGCTGCTGGGCCTCGAGCAGACAAGAGGGACGGCAGGAAGGGCTCCTGTGCCCTAGGGCCACAGCCTGGCCGTAGCAGGCAACAGCATGGGCCTGAGAGAGGCAGCAGCCCCTGACAAAGCACTGCCCACGCCTCCTCAGGGAAGAGCTGAGATTCGCCCCTTGTCCATCCCCACCAAGGAGGAGCAAAGAACGCATTCTGGGCTCAGTCCTCCGCTGAGGCACTTCGGGAACTGTCTGCCTTCTTCCCGTGTGAGCTATGCCTGTTCTTATTTACCGTATTTAGTCTTTAGAGCATTTTTGTCTTTTATTAGTGGATTTCACAGCACACGATGGTTGTGTTCTGGGGAGCTGGCCCAGGCCCAGGCCCACACGCATCTTCATTCTCCATGACCCTTCCACCCTCCGTCCCCAGCCCTCCAGCTCCCATGTGTGAGAGATTTATCTCCCCTATTAATTTATCTCCCTATTAATTAACAATGTTGAAGACAAAGCCTTTCAGAAAAAAAAAAAAACAAGACAGAAAATGACATGTGATCAGGTATGGTGGCCCACTCCTGTAATCCCCACATTTAGGAGGCTGAGGCAGGAGGATCACCTCGAATTTAAGGCCAGACCAGGCTGCATAGTGAGTTCAAGGCCAGGCTGAACAATACAGCAAGATCCTGGCTCCAAAAAATAAAACAAACAAAAAACAGTGAATAATAATTATCCTGGTTTTGATGGACGGTGGTTTATTCTGAGAGAGACCTGAGAGCAATGACATTACAGCCGTAAAGAGGAGCCCCATGTGACAGTCTAGATTTCCCAGTAACCAGTGTTAAAAACACAATAAAAGAGGAAAAAATTAACCAATATAAAAATTACAAAAGATGCTTAATGTTTTGAAAACCAGCTCCTTGAAATTCAGCGTGTGCTTTTGGGTGATGCCTCCCGTGGACCTGGACTGGCTCTGTTTCAAGTGGGCTGGCCCCGCAGGGATAGCCGTCCAGCACTGCCCAGACCCAGAGTGTGCTGAGGAAGCCTCACCTGGAGAGCCAGGGAAATTCCCAGCTGTGTGGCTCTTTCTCCATGGAAATGCTGCCTGCAGTTTCCATGGTGACGGCCCCTGCTAGGATGAGACCAGAGCTCTTGGGAGAGGAAAGGCTGAGCAGCCAACAGCAGAGTGGGCAGGCGGGGGTGGGTGCCTTTCTACCTGACACAGCCATCTTGTGCATGTAAAACCCATCAGTGCCCAGAGGAAGGGCCTGGCACGGCCAAAGCAAGTGCAAAGGCCCTGTGGCATGTGCCAGTTTAGGTCCTGGGGTAGCCTGTGGCAGGGCACTGGATGAAGGGAGCCTGAGTGGAGAGATGGGGCCTCCTGTGCGTGGAGGTCATGGGTTGGCACAAGTGTGTCCTTCAGCACAACCTGTGGGTATCCCGGCCCCCAGGATGGGGTGCTGAGGTTGGAGGCTTCCGAGCAGTGAGGAGGAATGGACTTGGTGCCCTTCCAGCACCATGGTGAGAGCAGCCCCTGCCTCCTCCAGGCTGGGTAAGGCACAGAGAGGCAGCCAAGGTTGTGTGTCCCGGGCTGGGCCCAACAGCCCCCGAGGGGTGGGAAAGGGTCCTGTGATTTCCAAGCTGCTGGCCCTGTGGCCTCCTGACGGCAGCAGAGTAAACAGAGGCAGCACCACCTGATTTCAGTCACTATTGCTTCTTCCGCAGGTTGGGGTTGGCCAGATGCTTCCGAGTCCCCAGCTCCGCTCTGGAGCCCTGCCCTGGAGCGCACTCTGGACACAGCCCGGGGCTTGGCCTGGCCAGTGCTGTCCTTCCAGGGGCGACGCCTTTGGATGCACATGAAGGGTCCGGAGCGGTGACCACCGTGGGGCCTGACCTTCAGGGGTGCATGTCCCTGCCCTGGCTGGACCCAGGCCGCATCCCTCGGCTCTCAGGGTCCTGAGTGGCCACCCACCTGTTCCTGGCTCTACTTGCCAGCAGGAGGCTCTGCAGCCAGATGCAGGAGGAACCCTAAACTTACTCTGCTGCAGACTAGAGTGGAGCCCACGCCTGGCACTCCCGGGGAGACTGAGGCAGGAGGAGCACACACCTGTGCCTGGGCTCGGCAGATTAGTGACTTGGCAAGACCATGTTTGAAAACGAAAATAGAGCTCGGGGCTGGAGCTGCTGCTCAGTGGGAAGGCCTGGGTGCCATCCATCCCAGCTCCACAGTGCCTTCTCTCCAGCCTGATTGGACCTGGTGGCTGAGGGCGCTGGGGAGGAGATGTAGCCGGCCACAGTGACCCACCGGCATGGTAGGGCAGAGCCACTGTGTTTCTCCCCACAAACGTGGCAGGTTTCCCCCAGGGAGGGCAAGAGAAACTGTGGACCCACACTGTGGTCACCATGCAGCTGCCGGGACACCACATGGCTCTGGCGGCTCCAGAAAGCGTTCGCTGCACTCCTGGGGCTCCAGTTCAGAATCAAGGTCTTGCATATTCTCCGTTTTTTTATTTTCAGTTTTGGGTATTTTCTTTTTCATTTTAAATTAAGTATATAGTGAGCTCAAGACCAGTCTGCAACATTCAGGGAGAAAACTACCTTCCCACCTGCCCCCAAATCAGGTCATTCGAATATGGCCCACTTTTTAGGAAGTGTCTGCAAGGGGAATTTCTGTCTGAAAGATCTGCAGATACTTCAGCATAGAGAAATACACACAAATGCTACAGTATTGTGACGCAGAAAAGCAGTCAAGAAGATTAAGAGTCAGGAAATGGGGCCAGCTGCAAAGGGCTTTCATATTTTCAGTACTAAGAACCAAGAGTTTTCCAAATAAGAAATCAACAGCAGAAGGAACAGGGAATTAATAGCAATAAATGCCAGCATGTGGGGGTGGCAAGGAATGCAGGGTGCACAGCCCGCTGTGTTCCCAGGAGCTTGCGGTGTTGGTGTCGGAGGAGGGAACCGGGGAGCCTGGGAGCCCCACTGAGGTCTGTAGTGTGGAAGCCCAGGGCAGGGCCCACCCTTCTCACGGTGAGCCTCTCCAGGCACTGCCCTGAGCTCCTTCCAGGGCCCTGCAAACTGGTCCACTCAGTGCCTCCTGACCTCCCTGCGCTAGGCAGCCTGGCTGGTTTGCAGTGTAGATAAAAACACCTCACTCTGGGCCACGGAGTTACTTATTCTGCAGATGGGAGACCTCACACTCATCAGAGGGACTCAGAAAACAAACAAACAATCCCAGTGAGAACCCACACGTTTCTGGAGGTGGTGGTCCAATACAGGAAGGAACATTTGCAAAGCCAGCAACCGACAGGCAGGCCTGGCTGAGCAGCTCTGGGGGTCTCTGGAGCGATGCGGTTTCTGGGGTTTGTTATCGCTGGAGCTGAGATGACTCTGCAAGGCTCTTTTTGAAGTTTTCTCTTTGAGGTTTGGCTTCACAAAATAAATCCCAGGGACTGCAGCCCAGCAAGACCACCACGGCAGGCCCACCAGTGAGTCACTGGTGGACACTTTGAGGGCAGTCAGTGAAGTCTTCAAAGTGTTGATGGCAGCACCCAGTGGTGGCAGGGTGGAGCTGGTCCTGTGCCCCCCATTCTCTTCTGGCTCTCCAGCCCCTCTCACCCCACAG